AAGAGCTTTATGAAAGGATACTAATCTGCTTCATAGCAGAACCTATTTTTAAATTTACACAGATATATATGCAAATAAAAGACATAAACCTCTGGTCATCTTCCTCTCCTAAATATTTATTATCCTCTGCCTAGAACAATATTTTCCATGTGCTATTTCCCTGAATATCTGAGTTAAAATCTCCAGCAGTTTTCTAATTCCACATACTTTGTACATAATAGAGGGACACTGTTTCCTGAGCTAATCTGTTTGCCAGATAGCTTGTTTTCAAACAATTATTTACATCAGGATTTCTCCATAGCAAATCAATTGCTGATAGCTTTGGCTCAGCCAGATATAAGCTTTAGCATGATGACATGCATCTCAAAACAAATTACAAAAAATGGCAAGTGGCTGTTTACAGAAAGCTGAAAAATAAATTGCAGTTGCCGTACCATGTAGCCCTGTGATTCTGATTTTGTTTATACTTTACCCTTTCGTTATATACCCCCAAAATAGAATGAGATGGACATGCTTCATTTACTTATCTTCAGTAAGGTGAAATTCCTTGCAAAACTCCTTTGATGTTGCTACTAATCAGTGTGAGGAAGATTGGCAAAGTCCAACCTAATCCCTATGCAAGTAAGCGTAAAAAAAAAAAAAAAAAAAAGGCAAACATAACAGAAAAAGAAAAAGCAAATAAAACACTATGCCCATTACAATAACACAACACTTCAGGCAACCCATATTGCATAACCAGTCCAGTCAGTCTTACCAGGCTCATCATCTTTGACCATGATACATTTGAGCAAGGAAGAAGCAGTACATGCAAGACAAGGGTCAAGTCTAGACAAAAACTGTGCTTTAATCCTTTTGTGCTGATTGGTCCAAGAAAACCCATGACTTTCTTCCCCTAGTGATTTTATATAAAGATTTTATGAGCCTGTGACAGGAATTGCAGGAAGTCTGGACATTTCTCTCAGTAGCCATGTGAGTTTGCTTCTGTGCTCTCTGCAGAAGAACTGAGTTATCAGCACAACTGTTACACAGGAGTCAGTCCCTGCCTCTGCAGACTCAGCTGTATGCACTGAAAGTGCCTCTCAACATGCACAAGAAATTGCTGTGCATGGAGCAGAGAGTAAAAGCCCAGGCTAAGGTTGCATTGAAGACATACACATTAATGCCATGCTGTTTGCTTTTCCTGAACAAAGTATCACTGTTTCATGGCCCTGCATGCACAGAGAAGAGACACAGTTCAAGTACTGACAATATATACTTTTTTTACAGCATTTTATCTCTTTTTATTTTTTTATCCTGATGGTTGCTACAAGCAAAGGAGGTATTCAGAAATGTAACTGCACAATACAAACACAGGCAGCAGACTAAGTTGGCGGCATGAAAGGTGTATCTGAGAACACTGAGTTGACAGAATCAGAGTCAGATTTTGTTCGAGTAGTTTTTAAGATACTCTCTGTCATGACACTGTCATTAGGAAACAGTTTTACTTTCCCATTCTGACTGTGTTTTGGTTCATGCACAGGCTCCAGGAAAACCACCCGTTTACCAGTGCTCGCCTTCTTCTCATCAGCTGGTGGCTCTTGTGGCAGTGTGGAATTCAGTATGGATGAGTGGGCACTGCTTTGATTCAGCTTCCTCTTCTTCTTTTTGGCCTTACATTGACATGGGCAGGGGGTCAGATAGAGATACAGCAGCACTAAAATAATACTGGCCACACAGGCAGCAAGGGTGGTAAAAGCTGTATTAAATGCTTCATGAGCGTGGGACCTGTTCACTGTGAAATTGCTAACATTTATTCTAACCTCTATGGTTTCATTTAATAGTCTCTTCTTATTTATTGCGATGCAGGAATACAGCCCTGAGTTCTCTAGCTGGGCATCTATTATCTCCAGGCTGCCATTAGGAAATACCTTAAAGTTGTTGGCCTCCCTGTCTGGCTCCAGCAATCTATTGTCTGGGCTAACCCAAATAAAATGTGTGCCTGCATCGCTGATTCTGCTGTCACAGTGTACAACCAGCCTGTCACCAACCTGGGCATCGTGAATAAACCCAAAGGCTTGGAAAGAGCTGTTGACGGTGCTTTCAGAGCAATTCAGAAAGTTGTCCTGCAGTAAAGGCAGTTTATTGTGACCTCTTGGGTCTGATTGCAACAAACACCTGTACTCATTTTTGAAGTCCACCACCGAGCTGAAGTGCCTTTGATACCAGAAGATTAGCACAGAGTACAGGACACAGTCACAATGAAATGGGTTGCCATGAAGATAAATTCCACTAAGTTGTTTGGCTGGTACTGAACTCAGGCGCTGAACAGGCATCGACTGGATGTGATTAAAGGAAATGTCCAGCAACACAAGGTCTGTCAGTTTATATTTTCCAACATATAAGTCCAGTGGGAAATGCAGGATCAAGTTGTAGCTTAAGTACAGTTTCTGTAGTTTGTACAATCCTCCAAAGGCTGAAGACTCAATCTGTATTATCTGATTGTTGTACAGCAGAAGAATCTCCAGTGCCCTTAGCTCCTGAAACACAGGGCTGCCCAATGTCTTCAGGCTGTTGGATGACAAGTCTAGGTACTTCAGATTTGGAGTTGTGGAAAAGCTTCCAGGGATAATGCTGTTAATGCTATTATGATTGACTATTAAAGTGTTCAGTTTCTCCAACAGCACTGGGACCCATTCAGGCTCTAAAAATCCAATTCTGTTGTAACTCAGATCCAGCCTTTTCATGCATTTATAAAGATTTCCTGGCACTCGAGTGAGGTTCTTATTGGTGCAGCTTATGATATCACTGGCACAGATGCAGGCTGTTGGACACATCCCCGGGGCATTGCCACAAACGCTCACTGTGAAGACCAACAGGCATGCAAGTCCTTTGCAGTTCACTTTCAAAACTCCAAGTTGAGTAGGAATTGTTCGCCAGTTTAAAGACATTGTCACTGTCTCTTAGCTGTCTCCCAGTGCTCCTTGCCACAGATTATATGTGCACTTGGCTTTGCACTAGTTGCTGTCAAAAAGAGGGATACAGAGGTACAGCATGTTAACATTTACCATTCATACCCTCCCTGATTTCTTATGCACGATTTTGAAAAATACAGGGAATTAATCCTTAGTATTTCATACAGATAATTGTAAACCCTAGCTCTTAGGTGATGTAAGCTTAACATTGGTTTTATGTAAACATGAAATTCTGCATTCCTGTGTAAATATATACACTACAGATATAGTAGGTTTTGTCTTCAAAAAGAACGTGACTGTTCTTCAGTCCTGGACCAAGCAATGCCAATTTCTGACAGTTCACTGAAAAATAAATCAGAAATGTTCCCTATGGAGCATGATTTGGCAATGGCATCCCCTACCTGTTTCCAAACCAACATAGATAGAAAATTCCTGGTACAGGAAAGAAAAAGCCTCATCCAAAAATGTTATTTTTGTGTCTAGTGGGAAGCAGTTACAACATGTGTTTCTTTACAATCAGAAAATGTCACACAGTTTCAAGCAAAGAATTTTCTCAGACTTCCTAGCTTTAAATGTCATATGACTTTCTTTTCCTTTTTTTTAAATCTTTAATTAAGTAACTGATAGTTTAGGTAGCAACAGCCTATTTTTAAAGTTATTCAAGATGTTCAATTAAAATATTTTGTACTCTGCTACTTCTACCTTTGCCAAAATAAATGTTGAGGAAGAAATCTTCTATGCCTGGTGCCTACCTCAGGCACCAGTTTGGTGAACTTTCAGTAAGAATGAGTCAGTCATTTCTCAAAACTTAGTAAAGGAAAAAAGTTCATATGTAAATAGTAAGAAAAAAGCCCCCAAACATACTCTTTTCTGATAATATTTTAGAATCATTATGGTTTGAAGCAGGGATGTAACATTTAGCACAGTAGAGATTCTGTGCTAAGCTATATGCTTTTTGCCATCTTCTAAAAAAATGTACACATACATAGCACAGTAATGAACATTTCTGTTCACTTTTGCTCTCCTGTAAAGAGTTTGTCAGTAAATTCCCAGGTGACTCCACCTGCATTGATTACCAACATCCCTTCAGAGGCCAAATGTAGTATTCAGCTCCCACATATTATCCTCATACTCCTTTCTTACCCAGCTGAAATCGGAGGAGGACAAACCTGCAATGTCTGCTCTGCAATGCTGATAGAGGCTATGGCCAGAATCTGAGAGGTTGCCCATGGGCAGTGGGAGGAGGAGGAAGCAGCAGCCTCAGATGGAAAGAAGCAGAATAAAAAGACAAATTTTATTCTCTGATGATGCAACATGGATGAAGAAAAGATGAGCCTTGAGGACAAAAATATTAAAATCAAGACCTAAATGGTGGAGGGCAGCAGGGCAAAGGCACAAAGAAGGGGAGAGAGAAAAGAAGGGTAAGAGATACATAGGAAAGGAAGGGCAAAACCATGGAAGGAGAATGCTAACAGAGCATCATCATTATTCCTAATGAAGCAACTGAGGAACAGGTAGTTTGAGGGTGCAGAAGTCAGTTAAGTTACATGAGACTGGAAAAGCAGATGAGGAGGGTGTAAGGAGAAAGAAGAGGACTAAGCAGAAGAGAGGCAAGAATTAAAGGAGGTGAACCTTAGAACACACTTCTGAGAATTTACATCTGCTACTTATGATCTATGAACCTTAGAACACACTTCTGAGAATTCACATCTGCTACTTATGGATTATCTATCCAGTTGATTAATAGATGCAAAATGCAGTAATTTCCACTCCCCCTCAGTTCATTTCCCTCATCTCTAACCCTCTGCCAATCTGGCAGGCTGCTGTCTTCTGCTGACATATCTACTCTCAAGTCAAGCAGTAGAAGATGTTCTATGAATCTGAAGAGCTGAACCTTCTAATGACCCATTAAAAGAAGAAATATGAAGGCAGCAGAATGGGAGAATTCACCTGTC